GCACAGCACTAGCAAATACCCTTCTTCAGGCACAGGGAGAGTCTCCTGATGTTTTGTGTTCTCCTGGATGGAACAGAAGCAGCCAATATGCAAAATGCAGGTCTGTGAAAATGCAGATGCATGGCAATCAGGACTGGAGGCCATTGGAGGCAATAGGTGTGAGCTGCCCTGGCTGCATGCTGGCCATGTGCGTGTGCACACACAGACAGATGTGATGTCCCGTCTCCAATCGCCCTGCCTCCACTCCCCCCAGCCCCAAGCAGCTCCTTGCTAGGGCAAGCCAGGAAGTGCCAGGAAAATCTTCAACACTGAGCAGAGCAAAATCCCGAACATTTGTTGATATTTTAAAAAAAGTCCGAATGGAGATGGGAGGACCCTGAAAAAGGACACGTCCAGAAAAACCCAGACATATGGTAACCATACACAAAACCCAACTAGACATCATGTTAATGTATGTTAATGCAAAAGAATGCTGCTCTTCCTAACACAATAATGCATCCATATTTTGTCTAGAGAGACATACAGTTAAAAAGTTTCTGACACTTAAAAGGGAGTAGGAACTCTCTTTTGGTATTTTTCACCCAAAAACTCAAGGCAAAGTATCACAGAAATAAAGTGAAATTCAAGTAAAACGCCTGTTCTTCAGTCCTTTCTAAATTTCTATTCTTTTCTAAATTACTATTCTTCAGTCTGTATTTCATAAGGATTCTGAAATTTAGAAAAAAGATGAATAATGCATCATTAAAGTTGGAAAATTATGGGCACTTATACATGTGTCAGATGTGCTAATTAGCATGTGTTGGAGCAGACTTGATTAATTGAGTCTGCTGGAACATGTTAAAATTAAGATGCTTCAGCAGCCTCCATCGTCACATCTATTTAGTGTCCCTGCACTTCAAAATGGCAGCAGGGCACTTGAACTAAAGCTCATTGAACAAGCTTTAGTTCAAGAGCCCCCCCACCCCACCATTTTGAAGCATGGGATCATGGGATGCTGAATACACGTGATGCTGTTGGAGCTTTAATTAGAGTGGTTCCGAGAGCCACTCTAATTAAAGCGCCTGTCCCTCCATCCCAGAGCATGTGTATAGTAGACACCCTACATTTTCAAAAGCGGGAGTTTTCAATTTGGTTCAAGGAGGTCAGAATTTTACCCAAATGTTCTTCAGAAACATTAACTCTGCCATGGGGCAGGCGCTGCACTGGGTATTTTATTATATACATTTAAATAAAGCATAAAACATTAACTGCTACTCACTGAAGGGTTTTAAGGACAAAGAAGAAATCAGATTAGTAACATCAGGGTGGGGCTTTGATAGAGATGTAAGCCCTGAAAGAACTTGTGAAGGAACCAAAATTAGTAAAAGGTACTGTTCTTTTTGGGAAAGTCAATAATTAACAAGATTCATACATGCTACCATTCAATAACTTTGATCCAATAAAACAGTCTCCTGTAGGGAAAAGTATGCAACATGTTGGACAGCAATAAAAAAGACAAATTTGAATTACTAACTTTTGTAAACCTTTACCATATATTTTATGTATGAGATATTTGAAAAGAGACTTTGTTACTGGTAAAGTGTGATTTCAAGTCAGTACCTACTACTCACCATCTCATATCACCTGTGGAATTAGTCTGCTGGCCTATACATTGATCCAGAGGTGTTTTCTGTTTAACTTCATCTGAAATGTGTGGTGGCTGTTTTGTTAACAGCTGCTGATTCCATGACACATCTGAATTTAGAGATCGGAATAAGGTAAACGTTTGTAACAAAACTATTTGACAATATTTTTAACCAAAAATGTCCCACGATTACAGAAAGACAGACTCAGGGTATACGCAAACATGCATTTGATCTGCATTAAAAAGAGAAAAGGGGCTGTTGCTTGGGGACATGCATCATCTGTTATTATGTCTGCGTGATCTTGCAGCAATACAAATCACCCTAACTTTGAACCTAAGCAAAGCAACATTAACCTAAGAAAGCATAAACCTAAACAAAGAAGCATGCAGATGTAACTGTTACAATATACCAATTTATGTCAGTATCGTTCATGTCAATCCAATTGTATTATGCCTGCCTATACCTGTAATCAAGCAATGCACCTAAAGAAAGTAGGTTAATACAATTTTGTTAACACTTCTATGAAGATGACACCAGAAAATGAAGTTACATAAAGTATTTTTCAGTAAAGAAAGATGTCCTAAGGTTGAATTTCCTGAATAAACTCAAATACCCATCCAAGCTGCTAAGCAACCAGAAGATACTGAATTCAGGGCAATGACCCACAAAGCACTGGATAGAGCTGTTCAGTTATTAAGATAGATCCTTCATGACTATTACTTACTCCTACTATTTTTAAAGCCCAGATAAATCTTTTTCCTTTGCGATTTCCTCATCAGAGGCATAACAAGCAGTTTCTGTGCCCTCGGTGGCAGCAACAGTAGCAGCAGCAGGTAGGGCAGTGGTGGTGGCCGAAGCAGCTGCCATTTCTGTGCTCCCTCAAAACTGGCCCCTCGAGTTGGTGTCCTGCTTATCCATCCCTACTTGCACTACTGGGTATCATAAGATTGAGCAACTGCAGCAGCCTCTTAGTGGCCCGTGGACTGCTTCTGCGTGAAGTGCTCTAGGACGAATTTAATGTATAGGCAGCTGAATCTGCCGGACTCCCTATCTTTGGCACTGAAGAAGTCTCTGTGGCCTTCTGAAGAATTTCGTTACCCATAGATTGGGTAGGGTTTTCTTTATAGCAACCAACCACTTTCTTAGACAGAGAAACAGAAAAAGGACTTTTGGTCTCTGCCAGTAAGGAACCCAGAGAAATTAGTGCCACATCTTTGATCTGAACAGAAACGTCTTTAATCTGAAGATCTCCAATGACTGATCATATAAAACATAGGATACTTCCCTTCATAATCAGATGAAACTGAGTCTTTTTAGGCATTATGGCATCAAGGCATTGGAAAAAGTTAGGAATAAAAGATCAAGGGCAAGAGAGGACTATCAAAGGACAAGGGATGCCCAAGAAACTGAGAAGAGCCTCAAAATGTCTGATGTAAAAGCTGAACTTGATATTCATATCTAAGCTACAACCGTCAACGCATTTCAAATTAGTACTACTCAACCGGCACTCTTTGAAACGTTAATCCTTACATGTTAATCTTCAAAGACACTTCATAGTTTCATAGATTTAGGGTCGGAAGGGACCTAGTAGATCTTCTAGCCCG